ACAGCGTCTGCATGGTGTCGGACTTCTTCTACCCCAACATGGGGGGCGTGGAGAGCCACGTCTACCAGCTGTCGCAATGCCTCATCGAGCGGGGCCACAAGGTCTTGGTGGTCACCCATGCCTACGGCCGCCGGAAGGGCATCCGCTACCTCACCAACGGGCTGAAAGTGTACTACTTGCCCCTGAAGGTAATGTACAACCAGTCCACGGCGACGACGCTCTTCCACAGCCTGCCCCTGCTCAGGTACATTTTTGTGCGGGAGAGGGTCACCCTCGTCCATGCCCACAGCTCCTTCTCCGCCATGGCCCATGACGCCCTCTTCCACGCCAAGACCATGGGGCTGCGGACAGTGTTCACAGACCACTCCCTCTTTGGGTTTGCGGACGTCAGCTCGGTGCTTACCAACAAACTTCTGACAGTGTCCCTGTGCGATACGAACCACATCATCTGTGTCTCCTACACAAGTAAGGAAAACACGGTGCTGCGAGCAGCTTTGGACCCTCGGATAGTCTCCGTCATCCCCAATGCTGTTGATCCCACCGACTTCACTCCAGACTCATCAAGGAGGGATGACAGTACAATAACAATTGTTGTCGTCAGCAGACTTGTTTACAGAAAAGGTAATGGGGGATAACATGTAAGTTTATTTTGGTTATTTTTTTCTTTAGGGTATGGTAAGAAAAGTCTTGGTTAGGTACCGCTTATGCTGTATCTGTGGTATGGATTGGATGTGAAATGGAGTTTCACTACTTTAAGGTGACAGTTTGGAGCTTTTGTGTTTATGCATTTAGGAAGAAGAGATGTACATTTCATTTTGCGTATATTGGGTTCAGAGGTGTATCTCTATTGTAATATTGAAGATATTGAAAACTTAAATTTGTAAAATGGAAGGTTTGTCTTATATTGGGGATACGGTTTAGGCCCCAACCTCTGTGTTCTGTTAGAAATGTTTTAACTATCTTTTATTTAATCAAGCAACAGCAACTTAAGTGATTAATTTTTTTTCATATTTGTCTCCAAATAGATCACAAGATGTTTTTTATTCAGAATTTTGTGTTCACCAGTGTAGCTATCTTCAAGAGACCTTTTTTTTTCTTCTCTTGAATAGGGTTATAGCAGTAGGCTGCATCATGATAAGTTCTAAAATCAAATGCAATAATGGCTTGCCCTAAATTTTGTACTTTTAGGTATAGATTTGCTTAGTGGTATAATTCCTGAGCTCTGTCAGAAATATCCAGAGTTACATTTCTTAGTTGGAGGAGAAGGACCAAAACGAATCATACTGGAAGAAGTCCGGGAAAGATACCAGCTACATGACAGGTTTGTTCTGTGTATGTCTGTGACCCTTCAATGCACTTTAGGGGTGGGGAAGACAACAGCAACACCCTTTCTGCCTGCGCCACTCCCCCCAAAAAAACCCAAACCCCAAAAACTTGAGGCTGGAGAAGATGAGAACTATGGAAGGCAAGGCAGATAGACCAGACATTAACTGAAATGATCCTGCAAGTTAATTCATAGAAACAGGCCCTGTATGAACTGTCACTCGAGTGAGAGAAAAGCTGATTTATACATAAATTTGTCATATACCTCTCTGAAACTGTGATGCTTGGATCATGTGTTACCGTATGGCATAAGGTGTTAGACAGCTAGTTCGTGTCACTGGTGCTTTGTGAGGATGACTGTTAGTCATTTATTATTCAGTATGAAACTCTTCAGAGTAGTGCTTATCTAGTATGTGTTCCTTTGGTGCTACTGTTTTACCAAAATGTTTGTGTGATGCATATGCATTTATGCATTTCTTCGGGGGTTTCTTGTTCAAAGACAGTTTTATGTGGCAAGGACAAGGTTCTTAATTGTGCATCTCCTTTTCTCTGTTTTCTGTTGCTCGTTCTGTACATCAGTCAATGATTCCTCTGGATGGATGATAAAATTGTTTGTTAGTATCATTCTTATTTTGCCCTTTTCCATTTCCCAGTGTCTCTTCAAAATAATCAGTCCTGATCATTGTATCCTAAATACTCCCCGCCAGCCCTGACTTTGAGATTGATCCGAGCTCACATTGAAAATTCAGATAATACATCTAAACAGAGAAAGGATGACAAATTTTAATTATTAACTGCATGAAGGCATGTTCTCTTACAGAACTAGAAAGCTCAGTAGCAATGTTTTGAAGGCAGTTGCCAGAGCAACTTCTCCCCTCAACTTTATTTTCAGAAGTTCCTTCTAGTGTGAAAATAAGAAGCAGAGTCTTCATTGCTGGAAAAATTTAGAGATAAAGGAACAAAAGCGTCTGTGTTCCTTCTCACATGATATAAGTGTGAACCACTGGTACATTTTTCAGAATATGTGTAACATCATACAGCATTATTACAGTCCAAATATAGTGCTTATCTCATTTTTTTTTTCTTATATGCAGGGTACGTCTCCTAGGAGCCTTGGAACACCAGGATGTTAGAAACGTTCTAGTCCAGGGGCACATTTTTCTCAACACTTCCCTCACTGAAGCCTTTTGTATGGCAATTGTGGAAGCAGCAAGCTGTGGTTTACAGGTAAAAAAAAAAAACAAACCAAACCAACCAAACAAAAAAAACCCCTCAACTATCTAGAATACATGTATCCAATTTAAACAAAGTTCATGATTAAATACTATGCGCTTCTAACATTTGATTTCATCTGAGGCTCTGTTTTTACAAAGGTGAGCAAATATTATCTCCATTTACAGATCACCTGGAAGCTGAGACAGAAGGGTTAACCAAAGTCCTTAAGTTTCCAGAAGAAACTTGTGCAGAATTAGGAATAACATGTAGATCTGCTAACTCTCAGTTCTCTGAACTAATCAGACTGCCTCTCCAAAATGCTATTTTGTATGTGCTACTTTACAGAGTTTTGGGGTAGTTGATATTCATGAAGGTTTACTTTGACACTACTTTAAGAGGAGTTGCAGAAAAATGGCTCATGAGGGTGGGTGACTTTGGTCAGTCAGGCATATTGAATTACCAGGCTAAGTCATTGTACTAGAACTGTTTTCTTCCTGCACCAACAACTGACATTCGTTTTCTTACGTTAACTGAGGATGTATTTGTCTTTCCGTGTAGGGGTTTAAGATAAGAGTTGGAGAGAAAGAAAAAACCACAAAAGCCCTTTCTGGCTAATTTACAACTGAGATTAACAACTCAAAAAATGCTAAATCAACAGCCATAAAGAACTTAGATTCTCACATTAAAATATAAAGAAACTTATTTTAAAATACAGACTGATAAGAGTAATATACAAGAAGTATAGAAAATAGGGGGGACTTTTTTTTTTTTTTTTTTTTTTTTTTTTTTTTACTATCGTAGCTTTTGATGGTAGTGGCCACCTAGTTGTGGTAGTTATTCCCCTGTTATCTGTTTCCCTTTCTAGAGGTGAGAAAGTTCTGCAATTTTCTTATTGTTGCCTGTTGTGTAGAGATGATTGCATAATGTGAGTTTTAGTACATTCTGATTTCCCTTTAAAAATAATAATTCAGATTAAAATTACTGTAATTTTAAAGAAATTCTTTTAGACATTCAGTAGCCTAGAAAGCATAAACTGAAGGCGGACGTGGTAAAACTGTCCTGTCCAAGTAGAGGTAACAGTTTTCATGAGGGACTATGGAGAGAAAGTCCAAAATCTGGTTACACAGGTTTAGTTGTATACTGTGATGAACACCTTTAGGGAAAATGTCTCATAAAACACTCATTAGACCAAGTCTTCTGTCTTATCATGCTACCAAAGACTCATTCTGAACATCGTTAAAAGTAATCTGCTATGCTAGGTCTTTTCTAGCTCCTAGACCTTTATTTTGCATACAGGTAAAATTCCCAAAGCATGATGGCAACCACTCTTTTTTTTTTTTTTTCCCTATTCATCTTGAGTGCAGCATCTAAACAGTGTAATGGCAGTGTCATTGCTCTATTTTATTGTTATGCAGCATATGTGCTATTTCTTTTGTTTTTTTCAAAGGTGGTGAGTACAAGAGTTGGTGGGATTCCTGAGGTGCTTCCAGAAAATCTCATTATTTTATGTGAACCCTCCGTGAAATCTCTGTGTGATGGATTAGAAAAAGCTATTGCCCAGCTCAGATCAGGAACACTACCATCTCCAGAAACTGTTCATAATAAAGTAAAGACATTTTATACATGGAGGAATGTAGCAGAGAGAACTGAGAAAGTATGTATAACCACTTTTAAATTCTCTTAAAGTACATTTCTGAAACGGATGCTTCTTTGAAACATTACTTATGTACATTCTTTGTGTAATCTGTCAGTGTAATTTTTCTGTGTGTTTCCTGGCAAACACACATGGTTTGAAAGGTTCAGAAGGTACTTTTTTCTTCCCCAAATACATCCCTATATAGGCGTTTTTCTTCTTTTTGCATTTTTTTTCTATGCCATAACTGCTGATAAATATTCTGAAGAACAACCTAGATCTTTAGTTACATTTCTACTCACACAGTCTTCACATTAAGTCACTTTTCTGGCATAACTGGAAAACATGCTCTGTAAGATGTATGGAAAGGAAAAGGTGGAGTTCATGATGAAGTTTTGTCTGCCACCTGCTAACAAATGGTTTAAATTTATGAGAGGTAGTTTAATGCCAGGAGGCTGAACACAGCTGAATTTACATGAGCTATGGATGTAATGAAAATAAGTTATCACACTTTTGAAATTGTATTTCAGAATTAGAACTGCCCTTCAGTGTGAAGACTTTGCCGTTAGTGAAGAATGTGAACTGCAATGTTATAAACGCCTGTGGAGTTTGTCGCTTCTGACTTCAGCTCCTATGTTTTAGGCAAGAGAGTAGCTGAATCACATGCCTCTTAATTACATTGTAGTGTAGTTAGAAATACATATCTCTTATAAGTCTCCTTGAAATATCGTGTACAAACAGTTTATTTTACTATTTTTCAAGTACTGTCAGTACAATCAATTCTATGATTTTTGTAATTGCAAGCAACATTTCAATTGCAAAGTTTTTATAGAAGTTAGTCTAGATTTCAGTTTCCTTTAAAACCCTTTAAAAAATTCTGTGAAGGAAGATGTTTGTATGATTGCAAGAAGAATGCATGGAACTTGCACTGTACAAAAGACAGTTGTTTGTTAGCTCATTGTTAAGTTACGCATAGGACGAAGTCTGTAACGTTCTCAAGGAAAAAACTCTTTGTATTCTGTAAGCCTCCTTTGAGTCGTGTGCAGTGGGTATTTATGTTTCTGTTCTATGAAACACAGGACTATATTTTTTTAATGATTGTCATTAATATGTATATTAAGTCATTAGTAGCATGTATTTCCTGTTCACATTCATAAAATTTTATCATACTAAGAATTGCTAGTGTTTCTTTAAATAAAAATCAGTACCCTATTATGATTTGCTTGATTGTTCAAATACAGAGATTTGGAAGATTGCCAACTCATCTATGAGTTCATCCGTCTCTGTATTGAAAATCTAGTTGCATGTTCAGACTCTTTTCCTATGACTGGTGTGAATATGAGATTAGAACCCATTCAATTGATTACCCCCCCACCATTCATAAAATATTACATAAGAGTCAAATTATGCAACCTTCGTGTTTAGTGAAATACTCTTGAGGTCTGTCAAAAAAATAGAACATTTCTTTTCCTTTTTTTCCTTATATAAATTAATGGAATTTCTAGAACCGTACTCATAAATCAACACTTAAAATCTGCAAAGCTTTTTGGGTGTAATATTTGTCCCATCTAATAGTTAGGAATAGATAATTTATTTTGCACACTGACAACAAAGTACTGCCTGATTTCTGAGGTAGAAGCAACATCATTTTAAGATCTTACTTTCTGTCTCTTCTTCATTTAGGTGTATGACCGGGTTGCAGATGAAGTGGTTTTACCAATGGATGAGCGGCTTAGCAGACTAATGTCTCACTGTGGCCCAGTGACTGGGTATATTTTTGCTCTTTTTGCTGTTCTGAACTTCCTTTTCCTGGCATTTCTGAGGTGGATGACTCCAGATTCCGTTATTGATGTTGCAATAGATGCGACAGGACCTAAAGGTGCATGGACTAAACAGTATTGTTTGGGGAAAAAAGGAAGGGTTAAAGAAGAACTTCCAAGCTCCTAAAATGCTTAAATGGAGAGGAAAGAATGCATCAGTCACTAAAGGTTTTTATGCTTGCTGATAGAGACATTAATCTTAAAATTCTTCATCTTTTTTCCAAAGTTCTTGGAAAGAAACTTGCTTAAATGTGCTACCTCAATTTAGGATTATGCTTTAATTTAGTTTTGTATTCATGCAAATTTATGGACAACTCTTTTGCACTGAAAGCTGGGAGGAGGACATGAATTTTTATATGTATCTAAAGCCTTTAAGACAAAAATACAAGATTTTTCTCAACAACTTGAATATTACAGAAGGTGACTGTAAACTTTAGTGGTATTTGGGAAAGCAAAACACAGAAATTATTCTTACAGTAGTCCCTGCTAATGCCTGGTATTTACTGTCATTTTTATTTGGAGACTTATTTAAAAATATTTAATTAAAAATCCAGTAAAACACACCTTTTCTCTCCTGAGGTGAAAATGGCACTTGAAATTAGTCATAAAGTCCATTACCATGAAAATTTCAGAGACTTAGTTCTAGCAGTTGTGTCCTAGTGACCGTGTTTCACCTGCATAGTGTTATTATTTTGTAGTTCTTCCCTAGTCAAGTCGGATTGTCCTGTGCTAAATCAAAACTCCATAATGACTTTTTGATATTTTCAGAGGTGCTAAATTTGTCCTGTTCACTTACATGTGTGAAAGTGATGTAAAGCTTACGGTGTTTTTTTTTAAAGTACATAGGTGAAGAAATTATATTATTTAGAGATAATACAGCCTTCAGAAACAGCTCAGGCCTGAAAACTCCTCCAGCAGACTCTGCCAAAGTGTGAAGTAACACGTGTGTGTGTGCGTGAGAGAGAAATCTGTGAAGGCCTTAACAGGCACCATCATGCTTGCTCGCTCTGTCTCCCCTCCTACCTCCTCTTTCCCCCCCCCCCCTCTTTTTTTTGTTTTTCCTTACCCTTACCTATGACCAAAATGGCATTTCTGCCCCTCTCTGGGAGGGACAGTGTTTAGTGTGTGTGATTTCACCTATACCACATCAGAGACACTGTCAGACAGGTTCTGCAAGTGAAACCTTGGGAAAGTATCCCATTTTCAAATGGAAGTAACCAATAGGTATGCTTTTTCATGGAGAGGAAAAAAAGAAAATATATCCTTGCATCTGTGAGCAATCTTAAGTAATCTATTCCTGGGACAATAAGCAGCACAACATATAGATGTGCGAGAGGAGGCATTTATCTCATTTATGTCAACCACCTCTAAAGCTCCCCCCGCCTAACGCACTGGGTTAATTTCTTTTTCAAGCATTGCTGAAGACTAAAAATCTTAGGATTTGATGACTGAGTGTTACGTAGTGTTGGATGCTGTATTAATATTAAAACTGTGCAATATGAAAATACTGTTTCCAAGCCCTTGAAGGGGAGTATTTATAAGACATCTTCTGTCAATATCGTCTTGTTTGTGTAGCGATGTACTTACCCTAACATCTGACATTTTATAATTTCATTGGACATATTTTCATGAAACACAGAAAGGTAATGTGAAATAAATGCCATAAACAAAGTCTATTTTCTTTTACTAGAATTTCTAGCCTTTGATATGTAATGTACAATAGGCATTGTATTACAATTTGAATTTTTCAAACTCTACATTAAAAGTGGAGGCCAGCTAAAATGGTGCCACACAGATTATGGATAAAGGGGTGGAATTAATGTAATATTTTACTTTTCAAAGTTACTTTTTTAAAAAAATACATCCAAGTTTGTAACAACTTTTTAAAAATACCAATTATCATTCCAGGAAAATGTTTTTTATATATGTTTAAATAATATTTTGTTGATTCTGGTTTATTTCTTTTTTAGTTTCCTACAACATCTACAAACACAAATCAAATTTTCAATAGGATTGTGAGAATCTGTTCAAAATACTTCTCTCTTTTTTCTTTTGTGGAACACTATGTACTTATGAATAACATAATGAAATCTTGTTGTAGACTTGTTGACAAATTTACAGTTTCTCTAAAAGTTTATTTACCTTTCCATAAAGAATGGATATTTTTTATTAATATGTGGGAACAGACAGTTAGAAAGTACAGAAATATGCTGCATATTGCTGCTTCCCATCACTAGTGGTTGCACTTCTTATGAGAGAGATTCTGCACAAGCTGCCACAAAAATTTAATCCATAACTGATTTAACTACAAATATGCTGTTTCTCAAGTAATGCAAGTTGTATTACGCATAACTCTTGGTGGGACTGATTCACTTACCTACCTTGTGCAGTGGAGTGAGGGATGATGTCGCTGAATCATTCACTGTTTTTAAAAAGCATCAGTGGGTGAAATGGAAAAGTTTAAATAAAATAATCACAATAATTAAAAAAATGAACAAAGATAATGAGTGTATTTTAGGAATATGTATTTAGAAATTAATAACTTAAAAAAATCTGAAATGTTTCAGTTGGGCTTGTAGGTAACATTTGCTCATTGTGACTACTAAGGAAATGTTACCAACAGGAGAGTGATACCAACTGAGTTATGTCTTGCATAGAGCAGAGCCTCCTGTGCAGGGGAGGAGGGAAGACCCAAAAACCTCCTATATAGAAGGTTGCTCCCATTCCATAGAAGGGACCACTGATCTGCAACGGAATTCCACCCTGCAGGCACAAGGAGAAACTGAGTTTCCAATACATTGTATGCAGACACTGTGAATTAAGGTACAGACAGCATGTTGGTAATTGAAAGCTGTATGTTAAACCAGAACAAGTATCAAGTAAAGTATGAATGTAAGATTCATCTTTCAGGTTGTGTTTTAGGGGTTGTGAGTAGATCTGTAAGATGGTGGATACGCTGTAATGTACTTATTTTTGTGGTCAAGTTTTGCTACATCTTTTAAAAATAAACTTATTTTTTCCCCTTTTGACATTTATTTCTCTTTGTTAGTCCTTTTTTCATATATCCTTAGGCATATAAACAAATGATGGTAAAATTGCATCTTTTTGATGCTCCAGTATACTACAGACTTTATGTAAATAGATATAAGAACAATCAATCTCAAAAGATTTTACAAACTTCTTGAAAGTTAAAAAATACTTAAGTATTTTAATGCTTGATTTGCTATTGTTAAATTACTCTCATATTTGCTGTACATCTTTTATGACACTCAGTAGTGTGTCGACCTCTGCAGTTTTTCCTAATTACATTAACATTGACATAGTCAGATAAAAGGTAGATTTTTTTTTTTTTTAAGGGAACAAAACTAAAGGCAAGATAGGGTTGTCCATCTGAATTTACAGTTTTACTGAAATAATGCATTTTTCCTGTAAACTTAACAGGTAGATTGGATTGTTTCCAGATTCTGACCTGCTTCAACACTGGCATAATTCTGGAGGTGATATTTGTGTGGGATTCAGTGAACTTTAACCGTGCGTAAGCACGGCATCTAGTACACGCTCATTCTTTAAGCTGGCTGTTTAATCGCGAGTGAGTGATGGCGTGCACCTAGAGAAGGAGTCATCGCCTGCCAGTGCAGGCGTTGGAGGCAGACGGGGAAATTAATTGCCTGCTGGAATTTGCTGTCTTCCTACCCAGGTGGCAGCAGGAGTTCAGATAACCAGACCTGAGGTGAGGTGATGGGTGGTGGATAGGTGAGATGACTCCCACATCTGCTTGTGTGAGAGCAGGCAGTGAGTCACTATGTACATCCCTTTCAAAAGCGGGAGTGTTGCAAGTGTGCTGACCTATGGATATAAACGAGGCAAGGCTTGTATGGGAAGTAGTGTCATTTATTAGATCAAACTGATAGAAAAGAAATAGCTACGCTCTGCGTATGTCTTTGTTCTGATCTATTCCCTTTGAGATAAAGGGTGTCTCCTTTATTTTCCCAGTTGTCTTCCTTTGTTTGAATATATTTGATATTCAGACTCTTAGCCATATACATTAGAAATACACTGCTGGGATTCAAAGAGTGTCTAGCATAAGAATAGACTGGTACCTCTTTTAATTTCTTTATGAATAGGATCCCTCTAATCTTTATTTCCTTACCAAATTCTTCAGGTCTGTCACATCTGACATTTCTCACTCTTGGCTAAAGTTAAGGTGAACCATAGTGAAAATGAGTTGTCTTCTAAGCTGGACTGCCTTTTCTTTTGTGCTTATGCTTTACATGTTTTTAAATTAAGGATATATAAACATTAGCTTTTCAGTTCTTTGGAGGATCTAGCTAAACTAATTCTATTCATTTACCATTTCATGACAGTTTTATTGATGAATTAATATATTTTCTGGATATATTAATTTGACAATTCAGTAATTACACTAGCTGAAAGCTAGAGTGATTCATGGAGCAGTTTGGGGATCCTTCAGAAGTTCTCAATAAGGCATGTTTTTTCTACAGAGGGCTAACTTGTTCACTCCAGCCTATCGATGGAGTTGCATAATCCACCTCATTCAACTCACAACGATGCTGCCTAAAACACCGGGAGGGAGTTTAGGAAGGATGGGAGGAAGGATGAGATTCCTGTTTCTGCATTGTCGTTGCTCTTCTGTTGCGTTATATCTGTTCTGATGCCTGCATTATGTTGCTCACTTTCCTTCAGTTTGAGAAATGCCAGACGCTTCCGAGTGATCACACCAGATCTTGCTATGACTTACCTGACTACCACCTTCACCAACATTAATACTTCTTGCCGTGCTGTTCAGCCCTCTTCCTACCGATGTGTTTTTTTTTAAATCCAACACAGTAATTTTCCTAGTGTTCTTATACACTAAAAGCAGATTAAGAGATTACAAGAGGTTTTCTCAACTGCATCATTTAACTAAAAATCTTCAGTTGTCTTGTTCTGAAGCCAGAAGGGTGGTTTTGCTGGTGCACAAAATGGAGCTTGGTCTTTCTGGAAGAGTCATGTTCCTGTGAGTGCTTCCAAGTGGTCAAACTTCCTCATGGCTTTTTAGAATACCTGGCAAGTTGTTTATTATTATCAGAGTTTCACCCTCCTTTAGGGATAAGAGTATATCAGTGGAAATGATCTGATCTCCAGTTTCTTGTATTTCTTTTGAGGGTTATGGACTTGCCCTGTTCTACCTACTATTTGGCAGGCTGATTGTGAAAGAAGATCAATGGATCTCCTCTGCAAGCAAAAGTCTGTTTTGTGGTATTTCTCTTAAAAGATGCTGTTCCTTCTTCCTTAT